TTTCACCACTAAATGCAAGAAGTACTTGTTAGTGATGTATTTAAAACATCCTTGTGGTTTCGGTTTGCCAAGTAATACATAATGCAGCTTGCAACTGCCAGGTATTTTATATCTGTCTAAATATGATTCAATGTCTTAGCTAGTGCTGCACTATATATATCTATATAGTAAATAGTGTACAAGTGAGGGAAGGAGGGATTTTAAACACAGCGTATCTGATGAACTGAAGGGTGACTGTGTGTTGGATTGTGTCATGGTCTGAAAGGTCGATTTTCTGAGTGTGTGTTGGATTTAGTTGTGGTCTGCTCAGTGGTGCTCTATGTTGTCATTACACCATCCCCCAGACAAGCCAGTGCGCACAGGCTGCTCTGAGCTCCTGCATTTCTCTGCCCATTTTCATGGCCTCGTCATGTTTAATGAAGCCTGCAGTTCAACTCTTAATTGAATGCTCTCTACAGATGCGAGTCAGATCACCCTGACTCTCCCTGCACTCACTTTCAGCTTACACACACTCTTTCATGCTTGTGCTTGTCGTTGAGACTGATTGCTGATGAGTAATGAACGGAGAAAAGCCTCTTCCCTCACTGCACAGATTATTAGTCATTTTTGCTATCTATCTTTTATAAGCAGACAAGAGCCAGTGCTAAAAGCAGTGCGAAAGCAGCAAACACACTGCGACTACTTTCTTTTCATTCTCACTTCATACTGAATGTTCCAGTGCTTTTGAATGTGGGCAATTTTATGTCCTGTTCAGCAGCCTTTATATTCAGATGTAGTTTTTTGGCGAAAGAAAAAAACGTAGCTATTTTTGACAAAGCTTATATATTTCAAACGAATGTAAGAAAATTATTCTTTCATGAAGCCACACTAGCATGGAACTACATAGCTCAACTAAACGTTTTCATTAAAGCTGTCAATCAGGGTGAAGTTTCCTGTTAACATAAATAGCATCTTTGGTGTTTAGCTGGATTAGAGAGAAGCGTATGGTATTAAGAGGCATATTTCCCAAGTGTGAGCCAGATAAAGAGCAGAGATTTGCTCAGCCTCTCTCAGGTAATGACATAGCCTACTGACCCATAACATCTCCCTATTGATTATCACACAGGCAAATTTACTGATCAAAGGTCAAATAAATAAAAGATAAGTATGAAATAACACACAACAGACCATGCTGTTATATGAAAATAATCTGAAGTGTGCTATACGATTTGCGATTTGCCAATGATTACATTTTTTAAATTTATTAATGAATGACACATTGTGTTTTTTAACTGTTTATATTTACATTTAATGTTATGGAATGTCTGCAAGACAAGTTAGTTCCTGTTATTGCTTATGCTATAAACTGTCTTCCCCTCTCCAGCCACTCCTGTGTTTTGTCTCTTGAAGTTATTGAGAAAAAAAACCACAGCTTTTTACCGAGTCATTTTCAGTCATTTTACCGAGATGTCTCTGTCCTGAAGACTTTCCTGTGCCGGGAAAATTTACAAAGCATCATGACTTTTACAGAGCACTGACACCCAAAACTCATTTCATAAATGTCTTCATTTATGTGAAACTTCACTACGTGAATGATTATATGTTTTTCTTTGTTAAACAACACTGTTTTTTAAATCCATTTATTATTAGGATTAGATTATGTTGACCATCTGCCATACAAGACCCCGTTTATGAGCTGTTACTATAGAAACAATAACATTCGAACGAGTGCATAGATATAAACCTTTTCATTTGTTACAGCCTAACATAACAATATATACAATATAATATATAAAAAAGTAATATATAATAATATATATTATATTAAAAAAAACTTTTTATTATACACAGACATACATATTAACACATATTTACACTCTCATGTCAGCGCCAGAAATGGGATTCAACTACACTACCCAGAGTACTATGCGGCCTACAAACATGGCCGCTACAGGCTACAATACCCAGCACCAACGGAGACATCACGTTCAAGTTCACCATCTTACAGATTACACACACCTGTTCACAATTACAGACCACATTATAAAAGGAATCTCATTCCACACTCACCTTGGAAAGTATATGCTCTGTGATTCTTTCTAGTTCCTTACCAAGCCTTTGTATTGCTACAGTCTGCCTGGTTATAGATCTTGTTTTTCACATTTTGCCTTAAGAGTTGCCTAGTTCATGTTTTGTCTGCCTGTGTCTTCAAAAAAGCTTCTGTTTACCTGCACTTGCATCTGCTTCTGCCTCGTATCAAACCCATACTGTACATATTACATTACATAAAAAGAATCCAAACCTTCTGACCAAGCAGATTCAGGCACTATGCTGTAGTATAATAAGTAAAATAAAGATTAACAACTGAGATAATTGCAAAGACGTCTAAGCAGACAGGACAAAACTCCCTTCGAAAGGGAATGAAATTTGTAAAGTTTGGTTATCAAATGCAGTAAAATAAAGCAATATGCTATGAAAGGGGGTTTGTTCCAGTGATTTTACCAGGGGTGTTCTTAAGCAGGACACTAAATGGAGTGAGAAAATCCAACATGATAAAATACAGTGTTCAATAAATAATTTAATTTTAATTTATCAATAATATAAATAATTTAATTTTAATTTATCAGTAATATTTCTATACATAATTCTTCCTTAATTCATTAATACAAAATTCAATTATTGTGATGTGATCACGTGTGTGTATATCAAGGATTTTACAGTGGCTTTGAGCGTGCCTCAGCCAATCAGATTTTAAAAACCGAAACGATCCTTTTTATAACACAATTTTAACAATTAACTCCATTTTGTACAATCTTGCACTTATTCTAAGTAGAGGAAGTAGAATTTGCCTTTAGACACAGAGCTTAGGTCCTTACTAATGAAACACACATTAAAGCACATGGACACCCACTCACACATATACACACATAAAAATACACATCTGATCTGAAGTGACTGCTATATAAAATGTCAGAATACATAATAACTATGTGATAGATAACACAAAACAAAAAACTAAGAGCTACACATCTGGGAACAAGGACTAAAAAAGGTGTCTGGCTCCTCTGATGCCGTAACTCGCTCTGAACCTTGGGCACACTACAGCGAGAGACAGAGAAAATTGTTAGTATTATTTAAAATGATATTATTAACTAGAGCACTGCATGATGAAAGTAAATCGCATCTACTATATTTTCTCCATTGTCTCTCTACATGCTTTAGGGGATGTTGCAAATGTTTCATTTCCTGTCGTGACATGACTGCACAAATATTCTTACATATGAATCAAATGACAATTATTTTTCTTTTTTTTTTTTCTTCAGATGTGCAGTAATTTTATTCAATCACTGAGAGCACATAAATATAACTAATATCACAAATGCATACTGAATCCAGAGCAGGGTGGTCTGGTCTCCCTGTGGGGAGCGAAGGTTAGCCCGTCTGCTCTGACTCCACAGAAGAGCTACTGTAGAACAAATTGCTGAAAAAGTTAATGCTGGCTATGATAGAAAGGTGTCAGAACACACAGTGCATCGCAGCTTGCTGTGTATAGGGCTGCGTAGCCGCAGACCGGTCAGAGTGCCCATGCTGACCCCTGTCCACTGCCGAAACCGCCTACAATGGACCTGTGAGCATCAGAACTGGACCATGGAGCAATGGAAGAAGGTGGCCTGGTCTGATAAATCGCATTTTCTTTTACATCATGTGGATGGCCGGGTGCGTGTGCGTTGCTTACGTGGGGAAATGATGGCACCAGGATGCACTATGGGAAGAAGGCAAGTCGGCTGGCTCAGTCTAATGCTCTGGGCAATGTTCTGTTGGGAAACCTTGGGTCCTGGCATTCATGTGGATGTTACTTTGATATGTACCACCTACCTAAATATTGTTGCAGACCAAGTACACCCCATCATGGCAACGGTATTCCCTAATGGCAGTGGACTCTTTCAGCAGGATAATGCACCCTGCCACACTGCAAAAATTGTTCAGGAATGGTTTGAGGAACATGATAAAGAGTTCAAGGTGTTGACTTGGCCCCAGATCTCAATCCGATCGAGCATCTGTGGGATGTGCTGGACAAACAAGTCTGATCCATGGAGGCCCCACCTCTCAACTTACAGGAGTTAAAGGATCTGCTGCTATCATCTTGGTGCCACATACCACAGTGCGACTTAGGAGGTCTTGTGGAGTCCATGCCTCAATGGTCAACTTTAAAAACTTTAAATAAAACTTTTTTGTGGAAAACTTCAAATAATTTTCTTCAGATCTCTAATTTGGGTAACAGGGTTGTACTTTCAAAGTGAGCTTGACAGTCAATATAACTATCACTGAGAATACAGAAAAATGAATGAGAAAAATCTCTCTCTCTGTGTCTCTCTCTCTCTCTCTCTCTTTCTTTCAGAGTGGTTGAATTCTCAAATCTGATTGATCAGGTGTGGATTATTTTTGTGTAACACCACAGCTTGGACAATAATTCTGGCTGTAAAATGAATGATAGGTTAATATTAATGTGCTCGTTCTGATATGTTATTGTTTCTATAGTAACAGCTCATGCACAGGGACTTGTATGGCAGATGCTCCACATAAGACTAATAATAAAATTATTTTGAAAATGTTTTTGTTGTTTAACAAAGTTAAAACACATAATTTTTGATGTGATGACATTTTTTGTTAGGAGACATTTATGTAACATTTATGAGTATCAGTCATGGTGCTTTGCAAGGTTGTGAGGATAGGAAGGTCTTCATGACAGAGGAGTTTACACTTTCCAGTTTATCATTAAAATGGCAAGCAGTGTTTTTTTGGACAGAGAAAGGGGGAGAGAGAGAGAGAGAGAAAGGAGAAGCTGTCAATCATTAATAACTTAAACATTGGAATTGTTGGCATATCACTGTGGTATAAGTGAAATAAAACAAATTTTACACTTTTTATTGGCCTCAAGGTTGGTTTTGAGGAAGGTTTATATAACCACTGGGCTTTTTATTGTCTCACTGGCAACCCTGCCTGTAAGTGTCATTGTGTTGGGCAGTGGTGGCTCAGTGGTTAAGGCTCTGGGTTACTGATCAGAAGGGTTCAAGCCCCAGCACTGCCAAGCTGCCACTGTTGGGCCCTTGAGCAAGTCCCTTAACACTCTCTGCTCCAGGGGCGTTGTGTCACGGCTGACCTTACACTCTGACCCCAGGTTCCTTACAAGCTGCGATATGCGAAGAAAGAATTTCACTGTGCTGTAATGTATATGTGACAAAATAAAACATTGACAATATTGAAAATGCTTCTGATTGTGTTTTCTACACTACAAGCAATTTGAATGCTTCTCTAACAAGGTCATGTGTTGCTAAGAAAGAGCTCTGCTCCAAATTTAATGAGCAGACACTCCTAGGACTCCTAGACACAAAGTGTGTGTCTGTGTGTCTGACATTGTGGTAGGCTTGTGAAGCTGTAAAGGCCACTGTAACTAAAGTAGCCCTGCTGATACTAACACTGAGTGGTGAATGGCACTATGGCTGAATGGCAGGTGTGTGTGTGTGTGTGTGTGTGTGAGATTGTGTAACATAAATATTTCCATCCTTTACTCTCTCAAGCTCTTTCAGCCCTTCCTGATAACAGGGCAAAAATGTAGCTGATATGGGTTAACATTTTCATTTGATTTCAAGTTGTCGAAATTTTCAGACACTCGGCAGTGAGAAATGATCAGAGTGTGACTGCAGTGCCTCTATATTATTGACTGATTGCACACAATGTTTTGTCATGGTTGGCATTGAGCTGCCATTGGATCCCTGTATGTTAACATCCTGCCAGCAGGTGGGGTAATCAAGTGTTACTTTGCCAGCACTCTCTATGTTCATAAAGCTTTACGACTGTGCTTATAGTTCTTTCTAATTTGGCAACTGTACTTGCTAAGCATTTTTCTAGAATTTAGTAATGCCCCATAAAGCTGCACTAAAGTGCTGTAATCAGTTCATTGATGACTAGGAGAATTATAGGACACGATATAAAATATTTCAGTAGGGTATATTTATTTTTGTTCAGTATTTGTTAATTAATAAAATGCTATACATAGGAAGAAATCTTTACATTAAATTACAGTCCTGCTGAATTCTCAGTTCAAAATGGTTTTTTTTTTATTAATGGTTTATTATATTAAAAAAGAACATATATCATCATTGAGAAATTGTTATAATATTTATTTAAATGTCAGCACTTTGTAACAGTCAAAATATTTCCGGGTTTTGTGGTTTCTCAGTAATGTGAGAAATAAGTTGTATTTTTGTCTGATTAACTTCAAGAAGGTGAGAGAGAAAGAGATCTCTGTTTGTATCTGCTATAACACAAGTTAAATATAATTATAAATTTAAACAATGATGTTCTATAAGAACTAAACGTGTAATTGTTGGCAAATTGCCATGGTATAAGTGTAATAAAACACAAGGAGGTGTGCAGTTATATGAAAATAATCAGTGCATCACACCTTCGCCTTATTTTACAGTAGCACTTAGCACTCATTTTTTCCATTTTCGCCATCAAGCTGCAAATGGTTATGAGCACAGTCAAAAAACTATACAAAATGTTACTGATTTTTTTTAGCTGTGCATAACTATGTAAAGATAACAAAAGAAGTATTGAAATATTATTTAAAAGAAGGGTAAAGTTGGAGTGCACTGGAAGGCACTTTGTCCACCTACGCACTGCTTTCAAACACATAAGGTAGCAATTATAAAGTGCTAGTAACATACAGTGAGGGGAAATAAGTATTCAGACAGTCTGTTTTTGTTATTTAATATATTTCCAGTACACATATCCACTTCACATTTACACACAGAATGTCTTTTGACCTTGTACTTATAAATATAAGCTAAAAGTTTGTAGTCATAAGCAAAAACAAAGATATGTTTAAAAAACGAAATTGATAGCGTAAAATGTATTCAGACACTATATTAAACTATATATACATGTAAAAGTTACATAAAAAGTTGTAAATATAAATGCTTAAAAAAGTTTTCAGGCAAATTGCACCTGTTGTCATTATAAAAAATGTTGCCATTTGTTGGGAAGATTTCACGCAACAAGTAGCAATTGTAGTGAAGAGAAAGGAGCTTCCTAAAGTTCTCAGGGACATTATTAAACAACACTCGAATGGAAGAGCTACAGAGCCACAGCAAAGACCTTAAACATCCCTGTCAGTACGGATGTTTCAATAATATGCAGGTGGAAAGTTGGAAAACCACAAGTAATCGTCCCCAGACAGGTGCACCACACAAGATTTCACAACCCACTCTCAGACTAATTGTAAAGAAAGTAAGAGAAGCCAGCAGTCACTCGAAGGAGCTGCAGGACGACCTGAAAGGTGCAGTACCAGCAGTTTCACAAAGAACAATAAGCAGTGAACTGCACCACAATCATCTCCAGACCTACACCCTATGCATACTCTTCTGCTAAAAAGAGGAGTCAAAAAACAGAACTCATATATACAATAATTCTTATAACTCTTATAAGCAATAATTCAGGTCATCATGATTGGAGAAGGAAGGGTTACATGCATGATCCCAAGAACACCATACCCTGAAACATCAATCGAGCATATTTAGACATACAGTCAGGTCCATAAATATTGGGACAGTGACACAGTTTTGGTAATTTTGCCTCTGTACACCACCACAGTGGATTTGAAATGAAGCAGTCAAGATGTGACTGAAGCGTAGACTTTCAGCTTTAATTCAAGGGGTTTAACAAAAATATTGCATTAACTGTTTAGGAATTACAGCCATTTTTTACAGAGTTCCTCCA